CCACATAGAAACTTTCAAAGACTGTTTTGATTACTTCTGTTGAAAAGAGTGGTTGATTGTCCGTTGCAGTTTGTTTAAATGCAGAACAGGCACAACTTGGAGAGGATACAGCTCCGAACAGATGAACTGTCATTCGGTAAGTATAAACTTCCTGTTTCAAGTCTCCATCACACCACCATAGAAACCGAAGAAAGTCAACATCCTCTTTAGACACCTTAACCTGATGAAACATAGCTTGAATGTCAGCCATCAAGGCTATGGGCTCCTGCCTGAATCGTATCAGAACTCCTAGAAGTGAATTTGTAAGGTTGGGACCTTGCAACAGTTGTTTGTTGAGGGATGTATCCTTAAATGTTGCTCCTCAATCAAATACAACTCTCAATGTTCCTTTTTTGGGATGGAACACTCCATGATGAGGAACATACCAAACCTTACCATCATCCCGATTTAACTGGTCTTCTGGCACCTTCTCAGCATAACCTTTTTCAAGAACATCAGAAAGGAAACGTGTATATTCCTCATGGAACGGGTTGTTCCTTTCAAATTTCCTTTTCAACCCATTGCACCTTTGCTTGGGAACACACAAGTTGTTAGGCAATACCACATCATTAGTTCGAAATGGTAACTTAAGATTGTAATGTCCATCCTGTACCTTAACTGACTTGTCCATTATTTCCAAAAACTTCAGATCCTCTCTGGACATCTCTTTCTTATCCACCATGTTTTCATTAAAGTCACAATTATACTGATGTTGAAGCAATTCCTCGAGCCTTCCAATAGAAATCCTGTTGACAGTAACAAAAGGTGTGCCAGTATCATTCCTGCAGTCACTACTCCTCTCTGAAAGTCCATTAACAACCCACCCCAGAAGGGTTCTAATGGCATAAGGTCCATTACCATAGCCATTTATTACCTCCCATGGCTCCATCACTTGGGACGCATTGGCTCCAATGAGTAAATCAACATTAGCCTCAATGTGTGTAAGTTTCACTCTGTCCAGATATGGCCATTTGGATATTTCCTCCTGCGTTACAATGTTATCTGAGTTGACAGGCATTTTCTTCTGAGTATATACTTCCGGAAGGGAAAAGAAATGATCGTTGTTGATTCCGCTTATCTCCAAACCAGTTAACACATTACAAGATACAGACTGCTCTTATCCCATAGTGCGCAGAAAAATAATAATAATAATAATAATAATAATAATTCATCACATTTATATAGCGCTTTTCTGGACACTCAAAGCGCTTCACATAGAAGGGGGGAATCTCCTCAACCACCACCAATGTTAACCCTTTTACCTCTGATGTTCAGTTCATCCATCAGCTGCTTGGAGCAAAATGTAGCTGAACCCCCAGGATCCAGAAAAGCATACGTTTGAATTATTTTGTCTCCTTTGGCTCATTTTACTTGCACTGGAATGATTGACAGAAAACATTTTTCATTACCAGCCCCTGTATGTCCACAAGTTTGTGCAGACACTAGGCTACTCTTTTGCCCCTTGTCCTCCACAACTGGCTTGCGATGTATGTGCAACACTGAAGGATGTGTCTGATTACATACTTCACAGACAAGGCGGTCGTCACATTCCCTACTTATATGTCCAGACTTTAAACAGCTGAAACAAACTCCTGTTTCTTTTAAAAAGGTCAAGCTTTTCTTGTTGTGACTTATTTTTAAAAATATCACACCTTTTTAAAACATGATTGTCTTGACAGAACAAGCAAGTTGTGTTACCATTGGTCTTGTATACGGAATGATTTCTCAATTGTGATGTTACATATCCCCTTGGAACTGAATTATCATTTGTAACATTTGCAGCAAAACTGTTTCCCTTGAATGTCCTGTTAACTGTACTTGGTTGCTTATCCTGAATGCATCCAAACACAGGATCTGATGCCATCTTTGCCTGTCGTTCAATGAAGTCTACAATGTGTGAGAATTTTGCTCTGCCTCGATGCAACTCCATTATCTCACAAGCTCTTTCTCTCCAACATTCTCTCAATTTGACAGGCAGCTTCATTACCACAGTTCTCATATTACTTGGCATATTTAGTTCTTGCATATAAGAGATATTATCAATGATGTTACAACATGCACGCAAAAACAATGAATATGCATGAAGACCTTGTGCATCCTCAGTCTTTAATGATGGCCAACTTAAAGCCTTTTCCATATATGCAGCTGCAATCTGGAATTCATCACCAAATTGCTCCTTCAGAAGTTTCTTAGCTAATAAATACCCTACTTCTGGATCAAGATGTTGGCAACTTTGAACCAGTACTCTGGGTTGTCCTGTCGTGAATTGCTCCAGAAAATACAAGCAGTCCCTTTTATTGCGAGTCCTTTCTTCAACACTGTACTCAAAAGCTCTAATGAATGACACATACTGAAGTGGATTACCATCAAAGATTGGAATCTCTCTTTTGGGAAGCGTTTGAGGTTGAACTTGATGTACCAGATATGTTGTTAATTCCTCCTGCCTTTTCAGAATCTCATACAGGGGTTCACCTTGAGATGGAAGACAGTTCACAGCTTGAGATGTTGCCATGTTACCTCTGGAATGGTGAGCAAAAGAATGCGAGTCTTGTTGTTGGTAAGTACTGCTTTCTTGATTGTTCAACAATCTTTTAGGCTGCATTAGCATGTTGATCGGTTTGTGATGTTACAGGAAGCACCAGCTGATTGTGTTGGAACACTGCTGATAACTCTACCTGTATCCATTGGTATTTCACTCATTGGCACATATTCAGTAACTTGTGGATTTAACGCCTTTGGTCTTGTGGAATGAAGAACTTCATTTCCTGTCACATCCCTTGAAATCTGAGCCTTTGTTGATCTTTTTCCTTTAGAATGTGAACTGCCAGTACGTGAACATTTGCTAGGACTGTCGGTCGTTCTCAAAACAGCAATTTTTGCAGTGGATGCTGCAATTTCAGCATTTCTCAATTCCTCCTGCAGTGTTTCAATTGCATGTTTAGTTTTTAATGCAGTGGCACGTGCCACAAGTGCAGCTCTCTCTGCCTCTGCCTGTATGCGGGCTGATGAATTGGAAGAACCTCTGCTGCTTGAACTACACTTACTAAATGCAGTGATAACCTTTGATACATTTGAAACACTGTCCTCAGGAACTATATCATCATTAACATTTACATCAACCCCTTCAGATGTTACAGGTGTAGACAACCATACATTCACATGTTCCGTAAACTCATTAATTGGAATCAGTTTTGCCTTGAACCATATTTCATGCTTCTCAATTTCATTGTCAGGCAACACAGTCAACAATGAATCATGTGTTTCCTTAGCCCCTAAACACAAACCATTAAAGTTTTCATACATGTTTCGTACTTCAGAGTCATTTTCTTTGTTACTTTGCATCAACCTTTTAATAGTCTCGATCATTTTGTGTGCTATGTTCAACTTTGACTTTCTCAGTTTTTGTAATGAATCAAGTCTTTCCACCAAAGCCTTTGCTGAGAGTTTAATGGTCCTTTTTTGCATTTCAGGCTAATTTTCATTACAAAGTTGTTGTTTTGTCACAGCAGATTCCTCTGCGGCCAAACACTGCTCATCCATATTACACACAGTACTCAAAACCCATGCAGTACAAAGAATAATTGTGTAACTTTTGGCAACCAATGTATTGGATGGACAGAGTCAGTGGCCATTAAAACATTTGTTGGTGAAACAATACCTTTTAATCCGCTGCCGAATCAAGCGTTGTCCCAGTAACAACAATCCAACAGGAACAGTTAATCCAGTACGAATCCAACCGGAACTGTGAGGTAAATCCACTACGAATCCAACAGGAATAGTGAATCATATTTCCACGACGAAATCCGATATCCATGAAGCGAATCCTAGACGTGCTGAAGAACTCATGCTCAATGAAGCCTTCGACTCTGAAGTGGCGTCCACATGCAGTTTATGCTCACTGCTTAGTGAAACAAAGTTTTTTGACTTAATGTAACAGCTTTCCATTAAGCCGCTGTAGTATTGGCAATAGGAGTGAGCAAGTAATTAACTCGTATAAACTCCATGAACTCAGATGTAAGATGCAAACAATGTCTTTTATTTCTTGTGCTCTAATTGATAAACGTTGCTTCCAATTAGCTTCTTGTGGTGTCTCATTCTTTGTTGTTCAAAGCATACTAATGTTAAATCCATACCTTGCAGATACAGCGCATATTGTCCATATTCCATATGTCCTTGAACATCACTCTTTATCAATGAAGCATGGTTAAGCACCATTAAACTCAATCCAACACATAACAATCTTAGGCACAGTCAGCATGGTATTCCACGTAGTACATGGCTTAACACGGTCAAAAAACTGTGTGCTTCCCCACTACCAATACACCTGTTGTCTAAATACCCATGTGCTCCTAATATACCAATGTCAGAGTGCCCCCAATGGACAAATCTATAATTGCATTAAAATGGCTCCTACAATTATAGACTGGATTTGACTGAGCCATCTCTGGCTCATTTAGTGCTTGGTGTGGGAGTGGTGTGTGATCATAGCACTCCACACGTGTCATTCACTCATATTTTTGTATTTCAGAAAAACACCTTGTTGCTTGCTCATTATAGGGTATTATATTATAAATGCATGCATTATATTTTTTATTAATTCTATTCTATTATATTAAATATAATAATTATAATATATATATATACAATATATATTATAATTTAATTTAATAAAAATGATAAATGTTATAGGTAACAGATAGCTTTTTCCGGGTATTATATTTACTTTTTAGATCTCCGAATCATCTGTAGAGGCTTAATTGTGCTAACTGGAAGGCTAGTTCACAGAATATTGCAATAGTCAACATCAATCCAGGGTGGAAAGTTTATAGCAGAAATGTTAGAGTAAATGCATTCAGTCAACATAAGAATTCAATTTTATGAAATCTTTTTAACTTTTATGGAACCTTTAAAAGTTCAAATTTGGATTCAAGACACTCTTGATACTCAGCACTCTTATGATGTGAATAATAAGGTTTAATGTAATCATATAGATCAGACATCAGTGTTGTAATAGTGTATATTGTTGAAAAATCACACACAGGCTAATTATTTGCTGAAATAAACAGGTTTATTAAGAAAGGTACTTTTACAATTCATATTATATGACTTCAGTAAATGCTCCTTTCAAGTGTTAAAGATTTATTCTTCTTTGGCCTGGGAAAGAAGGAAGAGGCAAACATTAGTCTTATTAACAAAAATGTTAATAAGATGATCTTATTAAAATGTTAATAAGATGTTAATAAGATGTACTGCAAATGTGCAAATGTGCATTTGCAGATGTGCAAATGTAATACAGGATATGTAACATCAGCAAAATGCAATTATTATAGTTCCACTACTTCTTCTAAGAGGTAGTTCATGTATTTGGATAAACAAGTTTAATAAATAATGCAAAAAAAAAAACTCATCTACTTAGTCTAACCTTTCCAGAATCACGGCTCTTAACTCTGAGCTTGTTGACCTGAGACTCAGAAATGTCAGCACGCTCCTCAGCCTCCTCAAGCTCATGCTGCACCTTCCTCAACTTGGACAGGTGACCATTGGCTTGCTCCTCCTAAAGGTTTTTTTATTTGGTTCATGTATCATGTTTCATCAAATTAGCATTCCAATATAAATAATTACAGTGTCAAAATGTTCTATTAGATTTTACATACCGCCTCTTCAGACTGCCTCTTGTAGACTTTGACCTTCAGCTGCAGTTTGTCAACCAAATCCTGGAGTCTGGCGATGTTCTTCTTGTCCTCGTCAGTCTTCAAAAAAATACACATTTACAAAATTAAGCATTGATCCTTTACTAAAAATAGGCATTGTCAGTACATACACTATTATACATACTCTTTTGTCTGAACAAACTTGTGAGGAATATGGTCATACCTGATAAGTGAGCTCTTTCACTCTCCTCTCATATTTGCGGACACCTTTAACAGCATCAGCTCCACGTCTCTGCTCAGCCTCAACTTCGGCCTCAAGCTCACGGACCTAAAGAAAAGATTATTTTTATTCAAACAAATCATAATATAACATACTTCACTTTGCCCATATCATAACTATAAAGAGGCTTACTCTGGACTCCAACTTCTGGAGTTGTTTCTTTCCTCCTTTCATGGCCAGATTCTCAGCCTCATCCAGACGGTGCTGCAGGTCCTTCACTGTGATCTCCAGATTTTTCTTCATCCTCTCAAGGTGAGAACTGGTGTCCTGCTCCTTCTTCAGCTCTTCTGCCATCATTGCAGCCTTTTGCATTAATACAGAAAGTCATTAGATCCACATTTTTTAAGTACGTAAGCGTCTTATGAAACATTTGGCAGCTACTGTTGCTCACATCAGTGATGGCCTTCTTGGCCTTCTCCTCTGCATTTCTGGCTTCCTGCACAGTGTCATCAACTTCACTTTGGACATGAACAAGGTCAGCTTCAAGCTTCTTCTTGGTGTTCAGGAGACTTGTGTTCTACAAAATGGAAAGCAACATTTTGAACAGTTTGAACATTTTGAACGATGCTCTCAATTCCCTTAATTTCAGGGAAACAATGTCTTTACCTGAGAGTGCAGCAGCCCAACACGCTCACTGATATCCACCAGCTCTTGTTCTGCCACTTTGCGGCCTCTCTCTGTCTGCTCCAGAGCAGCTCTCAGCTCCTCAATCTCAGACTGCATCAGAGTGTTTCTGCGCTCCACCATGGCCACCTGCTCCTTCATGTCTTCCTGTCCTCTCTGGGCATCATCAAGGTGCAGTTGGGCATCCTGAACATAACAATAGCTTTTGAATGAGCTTTCGATGTGGTTTCTTCTAGGCTGTACTTACCATATGTTAGATTAATTTAAAAGAAATATATGAATACATCCCAAAGTCAAAAAGAATAATTCCTGTGCATACCTTGAGTTGTCCCTGAATGTTCCTGAGCTGTTTCTGGGCCTCAGCAGCCTGGCGATTGGCGTGACTCAGCTGAATCTCCATCTCATTAAGGTCTCCCTCCATCTTCTTCTTGATTCTCAGGGCATCATTCCTGCTCCTGACTTCAGAGTCCAGAGTGCCCTGCATGGATTCAATGACTCTCTGGCTGTTCCTCTTTATCTGCTCCATCTCCTCATCCTTCTCTGCAAGCTTCCTGTCAACCTCTCCCTTGATCTGGTTTAGCTCAAGCTGGACACGAAGAATCTTGGACTCCTCATGCTCCAGTGTACCCTATGACAAATAAAACAACATTAAATATAATAATGAAAAAATATGCATTAATAACACAGTATGATGGTTCTAGCAAGAATTCCATATTGATCTCCAGATACTCACTTCGGCCTCCTCCAGGGCGGTCTGAATCTCTGCCTTCTCAGTCTCCACTGTCTTCTTGGCCTTTTCCAGCTCATGGATGCTCTTACCAGTCTCACCTAACTGCTCTGTCAGATCTGAAATTTCCTCTATAGAGAGAAAAACATATATTTTTTATCATAATGCACATTCATTAATCATATGTGCTTACTTTTTAATGATCACTGAGAATTAGAACATTTAAAGGGATAGTTCACCCAAAAATGAAAATGTTATCATTAATTAATTACTCACCCTCATGTCATTACAAACCCGTCAGACTTTCGTTCATCTTTGGAACACAAATGAAAATCTTTTTAATGAAATTTGAAAGCTTTCTGTCCCTCCGTAGACAGCTACACAATTGATTCTTTGACTCTTGAAAAAGGTTATAAAGAGATCATAAAACTAATCCAAATGAATTGAGCTCTCAGATTTAATAAAAAAGATCTTAATTTGTGTTCTGAAGATAAATAAAAGTCTCACGAGTTTGGAACGACATGAGGGTCAGTAATTAGTAAAAGAATTTTCATTTTGGGTGAACAATCCTTTAAGTTTTTTTCTATTTTAACAGTTTCATTCTTACGCTGCAGATTCTTGTTTTCTCTCTTGAGGGTCTCCAGCTGATCCAGGCTCTCCTCATAGGAGTTCTTCATCTTGAACAGTTCAGTGCTGAGTGAACGAGCCTCTTTCTGGGCACCTTCCAGCTCTGCCTGACCTTCCTCATATTTCTGCTTCCATTCTGCCAGGACCTTTGGTGGAGATATTTCAGGATTGAGTTTGTTTAAAAAATGTTGAACAAAGCCCATTCCAGCAATACTTTACAAAGAGAATATAATATGACTAAAACGGTTTACCTTGTCGAAGTTCTTCTGCTTCTTGTCAAGGTTAGCAGCCAAACCATTGGCTCTCTCCACATCAATCATGAGGTCCTCCACCTCACCCTGGAGTCTCTGTTTGGTCTTCTCCAGAGATGCACATTTGGAGTTCACTGCCTCAACTTGTTCCTCTGCCTCTTGCAGACGCTGAGCCAGCTTCTTCCTGTTAAGTAATAAATATTATTTTGAATTCTAATCTATAAAATAGCTGTGAGAATTGGGAATATAATACAATAATATACATACTTGGACTCTTCAAGTTCCTCAGTGCGCTGGATGGCATCAGTTTCATATTTGGTTCTCCACTGAGCAACCTCACTGTTGGCCTTTGACATTCCCCGCTGCAGCTCAGCCTTTGCCTCCTGCTCTTCCTCAAACTGCTCACGGAGCAGGTCGCAGTCATGACGGGCTGATTGCACAGCATGGGCCAGTGCGTTCTTAGCCTAAGGGACAAAGTCGCATAATATTAGCTTGTCTCTACAGTAAAGTAATTGACAAGTATGTGCATGAATTGATTATGCTGTATTACCTTAACCTCCTCTTCAATATGCCTCTTAAGTTCCTCAATTTGCTGAGTGGAAGCTTGTTTGCCTCTGGTGAGCTGAGAAACCAGAGCCTCCTTCTCCTCCAGCTGACGGCCAAACTCACCTGTATAGATTTAGATTCACTGTGTCAGACTTTTCTATGTCTCTATCAGTTTATTTCAAAACAAATAGATGTAAGATTTGATCAGTGTTACAGTCAGAAATGTACAGCTGAATAATCTTAATACACTATTATTTTTGATTAATTATTGTTGATAATTATTGACATTAATTACTTTTGATATAATATTAATATGTTCATGAGTTACCATTTTCAGTTTGAAATCTTGCACTTTGTGTACTGAGATCATTTAACTGACGAATGTTCTCGTCATTCTTGGACTTAATTTCACTAAGTTGGTCCTCAAGTGTGCGGCACATCTTCTCAAGATTGCCCTGCAAACACAAAAGTCATTAGATATTTGAAAGAACTTCAAGACTGGTTGTATGTGACCCGTGCTGGCAAAATTGGTCACAATGAGCACATTTTCAAAAATTAGTTATTGTTATTTACTTTGATTGTTATTAAAAAAACCTTCATGTATGATGATGAATGATTTGTTGGAATCAGACAAAAAAGGACTGCGCTACACCTATTTGAAGTCAATAGAGTCAGCAAAGTAAATTTTGAGAAAAATCTAGTTAAAGTTTTCTGAAGGATCCAAAACAAAATCACCTAGCAACCATACCTAAAATCCATGGTGATACCACCAAATTTGGCACACACCAAATCAAAACCAAATATCTATAGGAAAAATATACATTAAAATTTTTTCCATGATACCACAATTGTTTGATTAGACCTGTATTGAGACCTACTGTAATGCATATATCTAATATAATGTTATATATCAGATGTTTTTCCCCAACAGTTAACCAAACGTTCACTTTAAGGCATGATAGATAACAGATAATGTTTGCAACACATCAGCATGAGTTTAAAAATCATATTTCATTGGTTCAGACTTATGCCATCGAGAATTCGCTATGAATATTAAAACTTGTGCTGAGGGGAAGTACCAGTCATTGATAAGCGAGCAAAGAAAAATGACAATTTTTCATGGATTATTAAAACAAAGGAAAGATTTAGGAAGGTACACCTCTCAGAAAACATAAAAATAAAGATAATTTTAGATGTTTAATTACTATTTGGAGCATTTGGATCGCTAGAAGAGGGCTTAATGAACACATTTTTGTGAATGAAAATGAAATTAGACCAAAATTTACATTTGCCTGTAGCTCGTAATTAGCACATGCGTATTACGACTCATTTTGCCAGCATGGGTCACATATATTCTTTAGATTATTTCCCAACCTTTGCTTTGGCAACAGCTTCCATGTTGCTGGAAAGATCATCAATCTCCATTTTGAATTCGCTCTTCTCTTTCTCAAGCTTCTGCTTAACACGCTGCAGGTTGTCAATTTGCTCTCCCAGCTCGGCCACACTGTCTGCCTGCTTCTTGCGGAGGGCAGCAGCAGTAGCTTCATGCTGGAGGGTGGACTCTTCAAGATCACGACGCAGCTTCTGGAATTCAGCTTCACGCTTCTTATTCATCTCGATCTGAGCAGAAGTGGCTCCTCCAGCCTCCTCAAGCCTCTCACTGATCTCCTCAAGTTCCCTGGAGAGATCAGCTCTCTGCTTCTCAACCTTGGCACGAGCAGCGCGCTCAGCCTCGATCTCTTCCTCCAGTTCCTCAATGCGAGCCTATGGTGGAAAGTAGTTAATTAGATTTTTGGTGATCTGCATTTGATGTAATGATCACAATGATGTAATGTTTGAAAAAATCTGAAAAAACCTGAAGCTCCTTGATTTTCTTCTGGAGTTGAGCACCTAGAGATTGTTCATCTTCAATCTTGCTGAGCAGCTGACTTGTTTCAAAGTCTTTCCTGTTCAACAATAAGTAGTTGTAAAAAAAACATAACACAACAATAAAAGTTTTAAATGTTTTCAAAGATTTCCTGCTTTAATTACTTTTTTATTTTCTCATCAGATTGCTGCTTGTCATTCTCCAGGTCCATGATGGACTCTTGGGATAATTTCAGGTCTCCTTCAAGCTTTCTCTTGGTTCTCTCCAGGTCCATGCGGAGCTTCTTCTCTTGTTCAAGGGAACCCTCAAGCTAAAAGACAATGATAATATGTTGAAAGCAGAAAACAGTTTATTTGATGAATTAATATAATTAAATTACATAATCAACTCACGTCATCAACTTGCTGCTCAAGCTTTGTCTTGGATTTGGTCAGGGTGTTAATAATAATAATAATAATAATAATTCATTACATTTATATAGCGCTTTTCTAGGCACTCAAAGCGCTTCACATGGAAGGGGGAATCTCCTCAACCACCACCAATGTGCAGCATCCACTTGGATGATGCGACGGCAGCCATATTGCGCCAGAACGCTCACCACACACCAGCTTACTGGTGGAGAGGAGACAGAGTGATGAAGCCAATCAGTGTATATATATATATATAGGGATGATTAGGAGGCCACGATGGACAGAGGCCACTGGGCAAATTTGGCCAGGATGCCGGGGTTACACCCCTACTCTTTCGAAAGACATCCTGGGATTTTTAATGACCACAGAGAGTCAGGACCTCGGTTTAACGTCTCATCTGAAGGACGGTGCTCTTTGACAGTATAGTGTCCCCGTCACTATACTGGGGCGTTAGGACCCACACAGACCACAGGGTGAGCACCCCCTGCTGGCCTCACTAACACCTCTTCCAGCAGCAACCTGGTTTTCTCAGAAGGTCTCCCATCCAGGTACTAACCAGGCTCAGCCCTGCTTAGCTTCAGTGGGCAACCAGTCTTGGGCTACAGGGTGATACGGGTGTTGACTTTGTCCTCCTCGGCCTGAAGATCATCCAGTGCTGGGGAAACCCTTTGTGCAGATTCTGATGCCCTCCAGAACACCATTACACCTCAGCTGGTGGATAACCAGGAAGTTCTCCATGAGACCTATAACGAACAATTTACACCATGAACTTGGTAAATTAACTTCATCATATATATTGAGAACCAAAATATCTGTACGTTTTTTGTTAAATACTTTACCTGGAGTCTTGGACTCATTAGGAATCAGGCAACGCACAAAGTGAGGGTGAGTGGCCCTTAAGTTGGTCATGAGTTTGCCCAAGTTCTCCTGTGGAGAATAGAAAAAGGTTGGCATGCTTTGTATTTCTTTATTTTTTCTTAAATATAGCAATATTGCTGTGATGTCATCTCTATACATACCCTGAACTGGGAGGACACAGTCTGCATGGAGCCACCCTTCTTCTTGCCTCCCTTTTTAGTATTATCTATTGAGATAAAAATACAAAGTAACATGTATAAATGCAAAAACAAGAAAGAAAGTTAAAAACTGAATTTTTCTTTACCCTCAACAACAGGTGGGTAGAGAGTAGCCAGCAGTTTGACAGAAGACTTCTGGTACAGCAGCAGAACAGAATCATTCAGTGGATCCTTGTTCTTGTCCAACCAGCCAGTGATATTGTAGTCCACAGTTCCAGCGTAGTGAACCAAGGAGAAGTGGGCTTCAGCCTTGCCTTTGGCAGGCTTTGGTTTCTCGAAAGCTTTGTTCTTGCCAAGATGCTGATCATATAGCTTGTTCTTGAAGGAAGTGTCTGAAGCTTTGGGGAACATGCACTCCTCTTCAAGGATGGAGAAGATACCCATGGGCTGTTTATAAAAGAATGTTGTTTATTATCAAAAATGAGAGATTTTGAGAATAGGATCAATAGAAATTAATAAATTCATAAACCATTGATAACCTTCTCAATGAGCTCAATGCAAGAAGCCAAGTCCATGCCGAAGTCAATGAACTCCCAAACAATGCCCTCCTTCTTGTACTCCTCTTGCTCCAGCACAAACATGGTGTGGTTGAAAAACTGTTGCAGTTTCTCATTGGTGAAGTTGATGCACAGCTGCTCCATGCTGTTGTACTGGAGGACAAAACATGAGAGAAACATTTGCTACCTTCTGAATATCATTTATTTTGACATAAAAAGAGATAACATAATCATTCTTACATCAAAGATCTCAAAGCCAGCAATATCCAGCACACCAATGTAGAAATTTCTTTGTTGTTTTGTGTCCAACATCTGGTTGATACGAATGACCATCCACAAGAACATCCTTTCATAGATAGATTTGGCCAAGGCGCTAACAGAGTTGTACACCTGTAAGTAGAATAGAGTGGATATTTTATTCTGCTTCTGCAATAATTAGCCTGAATTTTAGGTTAAACACATGGCATGCTGGAAATGTTACTATACCTGTGGCACAGTCTGGCCTTTGGTCACATACTCATTTCCGACCTTGACTCTCGGGTAGCACAAACCCTTCAGCATTTCAGCAGAGTTCAAACCCAGAAGGTAGGCGATTTTGTCAGCTTCTGTTAAACATATTTTAAAATAAATGATCTTTGCTCTATAAGCAAAGATAGTCTTTTGTGTAAAATTATAATAAATCAGGCACTAGGTACTTTCCCTTTTATTTTTAGATTTATTGATATGCACACAACTTCTAGTTTATATTTACACTAAACATTTTATACACAGTTTCTGTGGTTTATCAGCAAAGTCGATGCAATGATCTCTCAATTCAAAGCACTGCATGTTATGACACACATTAGTACAATGTAGTCTCACCCTCTGTGCCATCAGGCTCAGCCTGCTCCTCACGCTGCTTCTGCTTGAACTTCATGTTGCCATGATGAAGCACAGCTCCAGTGAACTTGTAGATGCTCATCTTTTCATCACCACTAAAGCCAAGAATGTCAATAGCATCCTGTAAATCACAGAGAAGAATACAATATATGATTTGCCATATTTAAATAAAATATGTCAATATTCAAATAGCAATGACTCACATCAGTAGCATCCAGCTCAACTTTATCATCAATGCTGGCCACTGTGATCTGACCCTGACTGCACATGGGGAAGTCATAGGGGTTGGTGGTGAGGAGCGACATTTCTGTAAAATACACAGCATTTATGACAGAGCATCTTACAATATTATCTGAAACATTGAATGAATTAAATATGTGCACCTACCAATAATCTCAGGCTTATGGTTGGTCATCATCTGGAAGAAGATGTGGTAGCCTCTCTCATCTGGAAGCTGGAATGACACTCTAGACTTCTCCAGCAGATCTGTTGAGAGAATGTACTTGAGTCACAATCATCTGAAGAGTGACAGATAAAGACAAATGTTCAGGATGGATCAATGAAATCATGTCCACGTACATGTCTCAATGTCAGCACTAGCCAGTTTTCCAGTTGTGCCGAAATGAATTCTGATGAATTTACCCTGTTTAAATCATAATAGCATAATACATAAATAATAATTATCATAATATCTTTATAGAAAACTCTGTACAGTAAAATTTAACACAACTGACCATATGTACTGTAAATAAAGAGTGGTTAACTTACAAAACGAGATGAGTTGTCATTTCTCACAGTCTTGGCATTACCATAAGACTCAAGCAGAGGGTTAGCAGCAATGATCTGGTCCTCAAGAGAGCCCTATGATGTTTGAAGGGTTTTCAGTTATTTTCAATTGTTTTTCTTTTTCATGACTAAACACAATTTATAGGCATTTCACAAATTCACATATCGCACAAATCATCATCTTTTAAAATAATATATATGACATAGTTTTGTATCTCGTACCTTTATTTTACTGGCCTCTTTCTTGACACCTGACACTGCAACTGTGGCAAAGTACTGGATGACACGTTTCGTGTTCACAGTCTTTCCAGCACCAGATTCTCCACTGGTTTATAAGAGATTAGAAGACAGAAGATTGAAAGACATGTAGACTTTTCAAAGTATATTCAATCTTTGTTCAATCTTAAATTCTATTTTGTAAATATCTCCATAAATTTTCCATCTATGTTATACTTTAAATTTTTGTCATGGTCTGAAATTAAATTAAAATACTTACGTGATTAGGACAGACTGGTTTTCTCTATCTGTTGATTGAAATTTATTAAATATCCAGTAAATATTTATTATATTAACAGCGACATCTAATTCATCTCAATGAATTCTATAGAATTCAATTCCATAATGTCTTACCAGTCTGCATGAACTGATAGGCGTTGTCAGAGACAGAGAAGATGTGGGGTGGGGCCTCCATACGCTTTTTGCCTCTGTAGGCAGACACCACTTCTGAATCATACACTGGGAGCCACTTGTAGGGGTTCACAGTTGCGCAGAAGAGTCCAGAGTAGGTCTGAAATAAGCAGAGACATGGTCAGATTCCAACAACACAGAAAAAATAAACTTAAATGCTTTTTATGTCGTTTCAGAACTTACGTAGATCATCCACGCAGCATAACGCTCTTTGAGGTTATACAGCACAGAGGCTTCATTGAGATGGGTCATCATGGCCATGTCCTCAATCTTGTCATACTTGGGAGGATTCATTGGGTAGACATCTTCTTCCTTGGCAACTCTCTCCTATAAATTTGATAAATTAGATATTAGTTATAAAAGAAAACAATGTAATAAGTAATTTAATGAGCATCTACATGAAATGGACATTCAAATTTACCTCCTTAGTATCAAGCAAAACAACTGTGACTTTGCCACCGTCTTTGCTCTTGATTGTTCCCTTGAGGTACAACTCTTTGACATCAGCCACATAGCAGGCAGACTTGGCATCAAATGGTTTGGCCTGAGCCTCCATTCTCTCCCTCTCAGGCTTACGAAGGTAAATGGCAGCTTTGCCATAAATGGCCATCTCCGCGTCCGTACTCATGGTGGCGGCTTACTAAAGAGAGAAAATATCAACTTATCCATTACAAAATTCGTAAATATTCAACAAGGGCAAGACACATAAAATATATAACACATAAATTGTGTTATGAAAGAGGCATATTCCTAAGTTTAGGCTTACACATGAATACAGACACATAAAACAATACTAGATACATTCAAATAGCAAGCAAGAAGCAGGTAAGGGGCCCATTAATGGCAAAAATGTCGATTGAATATGTCTTTCTGGTGATGAAATTGAAATGCTGGTGTCAGGGGACGGCAGATGTAGTACAATATGAATTGTGGAATATATGAAGTTTCAGGACAATACAGAGATTTTCACTGCCGACTATGAGTCTTACTCGGACTCGGACTCTCAGCCCGAGTGCATCCTCCTACTACGAGCAGTGGTGGACGAAGTACACATACCATGTACTTGAGTAAAAGTAAAGATACTCAAGGTAAAATATTACTCAAGTAAAAGTAGAAGTGCTGCCTTTAAACATTCACTTGAGTAAAAGTACAAAAGTATTTGCCTTCAAATGTACTTAAGTATCCAAGTACTTTGAATTTTTTATGGCTATAATTTCCTATTATAATTTGTCACAAGACTCTTGCTTAACTCAGTCTAAGTGAAGACTAATGTCACTCTTGGCACACCAATCTATTAATGAAATTACATTAATTAGTCTGATATATATATATATACTGTATATATACACTACCGTTCAAAAGTTTGGGGTCGGTACGATTTTAAATACTTTTAAAAGAATTCTCTTCTGCTAACCATGGCTGCGCTTATTTGATTAAAAATACAACAAAAATCAGTTATAGTATTAAATATTATTCCAGTGTAAATCAGCTGTTTTCTGTGTGAATATATAGTAAAGTTCAATTCAAAATTCAATTCAAATTTATTTGTATAGCGCTTTTCACAATACATATTGTTTCAAAGCAGCTTTACAGAAAGTGCATTTCAGAAATGTACATAGAAGAATATAGTTAGTTAATCATCATGTATTAAAGTGTAAGTTATTCCTGTGATCAAAGCTGAATTTTCAGCATCACCAGTGTCAGTGTCTTCAGTGTCAAATGATCCTTCACAAATCAGTATAATATGAGGATTTGATGCTCAAGAAACATTTATTATTATTATCAATGTTGAAACAGTTGTTGGTCTGTCAGTTGTACAGTTTTTTTTTGTTTTTTTTTTTAGGATTCTTTGATGAATAGGGTTAGGGTTAGAATCTTTTGTAACATTATAAATGTCTTTACTGTCACTTTCGATCAAATTAATTATTCCTTGATAAATAAAAGTATTGATTTCTTTCCTCCAAAAAATAAAAATAAAATTCTCACTGACCCCAAACTTTTGAACGGTAGTGTATATATATATATATATAAATTGAATTAAATTTGTGTGTGTTTAATTTTGGAGGGAAGGGGACTGTTCCCATAAGGTATAAAACATTTACAGTATTTACTGCATATATTTTTCTCCAGCGCCTATGGTCATAATTATTAACATTAATGCTATGATACATTCACATAAACCTGCACAACCCCATTAAATATATATACACACACATATATATATATATATATATATATATACATACATACATACACACATAGCCTACACACACACACACACACACACGCGCAGACACACACACGCGCACACACACACACACACACACACACACATTATATATATTCTATATTCTATGTTATGGGAGCAGCCAATTTCCCTCCAAAATTAAACACAAAAACGTTAATGCAGTGTTTCTGCTAGGCTACTCCCCAGAAAAAAAAGCTATTATATGCAATTCATTTTAGTGGCAACGTAAGCAATGTACATTATGCGTTAATACTTACCGATAATTGCTGCATTAATAGCTGCTGCTCTCTGTCCCGCTTAAAATCATTGTCAACGCGATTTGTTTGGAACTATTGAGAGCTACACGAATAACGTGACCGCGCGGCGGCGAGATCACTGTCACAACCATCTATGTTCGCAACTCTCATATTTAACGGCTCTGGTTCGCGCTTAGTAGATATCGCCAAGGCAAGTTCAAAACAAAGCACGCGCGCGCTGTACTGTGATTGGTGGCTCGTTTGGCCAGTTACGTTTTTATCCACTCATAAATAAAAAGGAACGACTGATTTTGAAAATGTAGTAGAGTAAAAAGTAAGATATTTGACTTTGAAATGTAGTGGAGTTAAAGTAAAAGTCTCCCAAAATTTAAATACTTGAGTAAAGTACAGATACGCAAAAAAGCTACTTAAGTACAGTAACGAATTACATTTACTTCGTTACTGTCCACCACTGACTACGAGTATGAATGAAACGGACATTGCATTGCATGTGTGTACTCACTTAGCTTTAGAGAGCTAAAGAGAGGTTTTTCTCCTCTGTAGATAAGTGTACTTGAGTTTTTTCTCTCTCAATGAATGCATAAGATTTCCTGACAAATATTAAGACATTTCTATGACAGATTTTTTTATTATATTAATTCAATATTTTATGATAAAACTTAAGACATTTCTAATAATTTATATAATTACGCATATGTCATCATGGATTATAATAGCAACACTGCATCCCAATTTTGAATTTAATCAGACCAACAGTTCTGTAGTTAGAGACAATTTCATGTTTTGCTCTATTATAGCATTATCAATTGGCCCTTTCCCGCTTCTTTTTCTGTTTCCACAAACTGAGTCAGACATGTGTCGAATGTCCTCTATATTTGGGCCAAAGTTGTATAACTTTCCCACAAGGGGTTTTATGGGCTCTCAGACTCAAAAGTGGAAGAAGAAAAATAGAATTCAATAAAAAACAAATACAATAGGTGCCTATGTTTGGCACCTAAATAAAGGGTCAATGGGACCCATTCCATAAATTCATCTTACGGATACATTTTAAACATATTTCTTTGTAAATAAATTACATAAGTTTTTAAAAACAGCATGCTTCTCCAGTTTTCGTCTATAATACAGACTATAACAACTGTTTTCATCTACCCTAATCCACACACTGAATCTTAAACTCACTTGCCTTTTGTCCTTTAGACCAGATGAAATGTTCCCTTGGATTAAAAAAAATCAATTAATTAAAATGTATTGATATAAATAAAAACACAATTACTTTGAGTACAGACACATAAGTGATGATGTTAAATTCCTTTCAGTCACAGTCAGCTTAGGCTCTTACCACTTGATGGAACTTCTGAGGTCTCTGCATCTCTTCTGGTCTACCCTCTTGGCTTTTATAGAAGTTGATCATGCACACTAAGCAGAATCTATACATGGGCAACCTCATATGCCCCCCATCCCCCATCCCCCATCCCCCATAAGAAATAAGAATCTAACCATAAGGCTTTACACAGGATCCCTACCCAGTGGCAAGCAAAACGTGGAAACACAGGTGTCAGTCAAATAATACAAAAGTTTTATTATAATAGCATACAAACCATAAAAGTTTAGATTAGACAAAACCTCACACATCAACTTTAATACAGACTTACATAAATCAAGTCACTCAGATGTCATGGAGCTGCGGCCAAATTACAGGGAAAATGCTCCAATAATAAGGGATCTCCAAATCTGCACAGCACACTCGCATACCAATTAAAGAACCCCAGTGCACGCCACAGACCACAGCACACAATGAAGAAACACCAACACCATCTACAGAGGAATGGTCACCCTGGTCAATAAGGCCTGCAGCTCCTATACGAAAAAATAACTCAACACACACACACACACACACACACACACACACACACACACACACACACACACACACACACACACACACACACACACACACACACACACACACACACACACACACACACACACACACACACACAAGTTAATACAATATATTGTACTAATTACACAACACACTTTAACTCAAAGTGAACTACAACATGAATAAAACTAAACCCAAAAAGTCTACAAAACAAAATGTTTTACAATATTATCAAACAAAATAAATCAATTCAAACGAAAACAATAAACTCAAGACTCAAATTGAGACAGAGAAAGAAAAGCTAAATCAAATTAACTAAATTCAAATGATAACCCAATTTCACATTAATAGGAAAACTCAATTACAATACACAATAATCAACAGAATCAATACACAAGATTTACAAAACCATGATCAAACAAAAATAATTAAAAATTACTGATACACAAAATACAAACTGATTTGAATGAAATGAATGGGGAGAAATGAATGGGGAGTCCAAAACAAATTTAACAAGACTAAATACAATACAAAATAAAGACACTCAAAGCTTTTTTAGAGACAAAACTGAAATTATAAAATCATCTCAGTTACGTATGTAACCCTCGTTCCCTGAAGGAGGGAACGGAGACGTAGTCGATGTGTCGACTGATTGGGATCACGCTTGGAGAGCCTGTCATCTTCTAGTACTATTAAAACGAGCCAATGTAATTGGCATGCGTGAAATGCATTACACACTCTGCCCCCGCGGCGCGGGTATAAATACGGAAGTGGATGCACGCACTAGTTGTTTTTCGCTGAGGAGCTGAGCGTAACTCAGGGTCAGCGGTGGTCCAGCAATAGTGGCGACGGGACTACGTCTCCCTTCACTCCTTCAGGGAACGAGGGTTACATACGTAACCGAGACGTTCCCTTTCAGTCGCTCACGTTCGACGTAGTCGACGTGTCGACTGATTGGGATCCCAATTAAAACGCCATCTACTGCTGCCACCTTCCAGTGCCTAGACAAAAGCCTCCAGATTCCCCCGCAATTAAGGTGGGGAAGGGACAGGGCTTAGGCCAGGGAAGTCACTGCTGTTCCTACAGGACCACTGGGAAAGCGTTCCCTGAACATGGAAGGAAGGGACGCTGCGGAAGCCACATCCTGCCCGAAGGGAGGTAACATGTGGAGAAAACACATATGAACTGGGCGGATGACCGGGCAGTACAACATATGGAATGTCACTGGGGTGGCTCCAGCTTAAGACAGGGGAGACTCAACCGAACAGTGACG